GCCTTTCTCAAACAGCTTCTGTTTTAAATAATGAAGGAAGCTAAATGATATATATTTCATATCAAATGTTTATGCTGTTTTAAAAGGCATCTTGACCATTTCCCTTAAAGTCTGATCCCAGCACTGCAGTGAGGATTGATGTTAGTAGAATCTGTCTGCTCGACTGTGAGCATAGATATTTCTTCCTCTTCTATAGCAAGTGACAAATCAGTAAGTGGAAGTCTGCAAACACTGGTCTGAAGACTGAAAGACTTAAGTGTCTGAAAGATGTACCTGTACCCTGCACTGAAACATGGGGCTAGGTAGTGAAGGACATTTTGTCATTATTAAAGTTATTTGCAAAAATTTTATTAACTTCAAATATTTCTGTTCCCAGGAAGTACCATAGTAACATTTAGGTAAATTGTTTTAAATATTTCTAAAAGTTGCAGACTTCCACGATAATGAATACTGACAGTGTAAGAAAAAAGGACTAAAATGCATTGGAGAATGTGTAAGCAAACCCTTTTCTTGATATCACAAATGACCTACATATTGGAGAGCACATCTTGGTGCCCAACAGAAAGAGCACAAGTCTCTCGTCTAATATCCATGAGTTAATTGGTAAGGCAAATTTGGAATCTCCATTGGCTAGGACAGAATTTAGCATAATTAGGCAACACAGGAAGCCTCGCATGTGCAATATAATGAGAACATAGGGGTGCATGTACTAGTACAAAAAGAGCATTTAATGCCCTTTGAGATCATTAGGTCTCAGCAATTATTAACTAAAGAGAGCCTTACTGATAATTTCTTAAATGTAAAACATCCCCCACTCCTCCCCGCCAAGTCTGGCCTCTTTTGTAAAAGCACAATGTGTTCTAAGTTAGGCTCCAAGAAGTCCCTGGTCTCTAACTGCTTAATAACTTTAGATACTGACTCTAGCATTCTCCTCAGGCCTGGGTATGATTTGTCTTTTATTTGAAAAGTAGTTAAAATAACTACCTGTTCAAAACTACAGTCTTAGTCCTTGAAGTATATTGGGCCTGAGTTTACTGTAGATCAGGATCTCATGAGGGCAAGAAGTGAGTGGTCAGAACTTCTGAGTTTCTATGTGTTTCTCCTTGAACTTGAGGGAAAAACACACAGTTGTGCTTTGCAAGGAATTTCAGTATATGCTTGGAATAGAAGTTTGCCTTGGATACGGGGAAAAGTTTATCAATGCTATTATGCTTGGATAAAAATCGTATTTGTGGTATCACATTTTAAATAGGGGTTAGATTCTAAAATCAGGTCAAAAGTGAAAATCAATAGGAGTGTGTCCAAGTTACATCTAAACCCCCCGTAACGTGATGACACGGATGATCACAGGCAGGTATCAGGGCTAATGCTGAGCTGTTTTCCAAGCAAAAAAGCAGGTCATTGTATCTTCAGCTGGGCACAGGTGAAGTTCTTTTCCTTGCAGCAGACATTTTTTTGTTTTATCTACAAATGATATTTAGAGAAAGGGCTATGAAATGCTCCCGTTGGCAGGCACACTGTACCTTAGACTAGCTGAGACGTCAGATTCACATCTTGCATCTCAATCTTGCTTTGCTCACTCTGAGACATAAGCTTATTCAGGGCGGGAAGGCAGAATCCTTGCACGGCTGAAGTTCTTTCAGTTGCCTCTGTTCTCTTTTCCCTCTCTCCTCCTTCTCCCACACTTTTCTTTCCTTATCCATCATCCTTCATTTTCTTTTTCCCCTCACACAAAAATGTACGTATTTTTTACCAGAGAGACTGATTTTTCTTCATGAGGTAGAAATGAGAATTACTGAAAAGAAACCAGGTGATAATCAGTGCCAATTCTAAGGTGAAGTTCAAGAGGAAGAAATGACAAGAAGACGGAAGGAAAAGAGAACTTGGTTTTTTGAAGTGGGCTCTGTGCAAGGGCTGTGTGAGATCCAAAGCATCATTCACATGCGAGGTGTAGCTTGCCTGGGCTTGGTTTTGTGATTAGCAGAAGGCTTTGTTAAACCAACAGTGTACAATTCTGAGTCTCATCTCTCAGACTGCCAAGTGTAGATTGAAAATTAGATACACATTCTTTTGGTAATTTTCTAGGTAGAGAAAGAGAACATGGCACATTCTTAATCATTTTATCTTCATAAAAATTGTATTTTCTGAGGTCAAGGGAAGTAAATTTGATGGGATTCTTAGAGTGATCCTTCAACCAACAGTGAACCTCTACTGTATTCTAGGTGTCAGGGTACCAAGATGTCTCTAAAGGCGTTCACAGGTGGAAAGGTATCACAAAGAGCATTCTATGATAGTCAGATGACAGCGAGTCTTCTTCGAGCAAAAGGAACAGCAGTGTTTCTCAGTAGCCATATAACAGACCAATGAGACTCATTTAATTCCGAAGAACACAAAATAATCAAAGCCTGGGGGGGCCACTAATTCCTATTTAGCATTCGGACCACTAGGAATTATGTACTGACCCAGAATGATTGGAGAAGGGTAACGTGAACCTTTTATTACATTAAGGAAATTTATTTTTTCAAAGATGGTATTAAAGTGAAAATATTTGGAACATAGGTGTTATAATACCCAAATTGGAAACTAAACTTTAAAAATGTCAGATCAGCGCTAGCTAACTAGTGGAAATAATACTGAAATGCTTTTAGATTCATGACATTTTTTGTAAAAGTATTGAGGTGAAAATGCTGAGATTAATTTTATAAGGGTGACCTATTGCTACTGGGATAAAATTTAGAAAGTTTTAACACATATTGTAAAAAGCCTGATATAATATATTGATCATCCTGTGTAGATATCTTATTAGGGAAAGGATAGAGGTTAATTTTTTTTGTTGTTGAGTTCTGGATTTTTTAAAAAACCCTATTTTAAGCTGGATTTATGTTTATAGCACTAAATATTTACTAAAAGGCTCCCTATTTTTTCTTAGGAAAAGCAAAACCCGAAAATCTCTGATCTGCCACTTTCCATGGTATAAATACTTCCACTATGTCTGATTTCAGGCTCTAGTGCGAAGCCACTGGGCGAGGCTTTGAGAAGGGTTACACACAATACCCCTTGGAAACCAGTGTGGGTCGGCTCCACCCACCTCTGCTTTATGTCTGGAATCATACGAGGAGTTGGTGGTGACTGTGAGAAGCACCTTACAATCTAAACCTGGTGAATAGTGCTCTTGAGTCACTCAGTCAACAAGCTTCAAAGCAAGAGAACTCAAAAACCTGATCGTTCAAAATATGGATTTCAATGTTGCATATTTCATAAGGCACCACAACATTTAGACAACATTAAACAAAAGAAGCGGTAGTTACCTAGAGGTGGGATCTCATTTCTTGTCACTTAACTTGTTATTTATACCAAACATTTATAAGGCCCTCATCCCATGCAGGGCAGTCTTTCGAATATATCAATTTTAAAAATCTTCAACCAAAAATCAGGTTTATAGGTGCAAAAGTGAAGGCGTGGAGAAGCCATTTACTCACAGTCACCCTGCAGGCACACAGCACTGTGGGATCCAAAAAACACGTAATCTGTCTCAAGAGTAGCTGACCTTAACTAATGCACACACTGACCCTGAAATTGTTTAGAAAGAAAGCTACAAGAAAGAGAATGTAAATCTAGAAACACCAGAGTGAAAGTCCATACAGACCAGAAATATAGTCTAAAAAATGAGTTGGAAACAGTGAGTTAGAAGAGCAATGAACATCACTAATAAAGGCCTTCCTTAATTTCTCCCCATTCTGTAAGAAAAAGTTACCATTGAAGAATTATCGAGTTAAAATTTGAGTTTATTATAGTCATATCTTTTGTTTAATAGCAAATTAGTATATAGAACTTATTGTTTCCCAGAGAATGAAGAGAAAAATTGTGGATGCATGATTTGTTAACCACTTTAATTTGTATTTTTGTGAGAGAAGATAAAGAGATGAAGATAATAATTAAGCAATACTTCAAAAGAAATACCAATTGGCTTTAGAAAGCTAAAGAAATTCCACATTATTTCCACTGTAGGGCTTAGCCAAGTTCTCTCCTGAATCATTAAATAATGCTGGGGCTGAATTGCCCTTTGATTTAATCTGCTGGTGTAAATCCTCATAAATCTCACAACCAAAGCTGATCAGAGGGGATTGTTTGTTTATACACAGGATGTGAAACCCTTCACATTCATAACTGAGATATGTCACTGTGAGAAGTCAGAAAGTTTACAGCAGCCTCACAGTTGGCCCACGCGTGGAGATGGGATTTCTAAGTTTCTTTTTGCTTTCTGGAATGTTCTGCCCATGGTTTTGCACAAAGTGACCACACACACACACATCACATGGCTCTGTCTTTGTCTCCTAGAGGCCTCTCTGAAACAGCATCTCTGCCCGGGTCACTTTCAAAGCCATTTATCTGCTGTAGCTTCCAATAAGACTGCTCATTGCCTCCTATTATTTCTTTGCTTGTTAACTCATTTAATGTCTGTCATCCCTGCTAGACAGAGATGCCGGCTTTCATCCGCCTCGTTTACAGTGGCAGCCACAGTATACTGAATGGTGGATGTTCACGAAATATTCGTGGAACTCAGGTTAATTCAGTGTGGGAAGGCTGCCGGTTTTGTGGTGTTTAGAACCAAGGTGGCGATTTGTGATGGGTAATGTACCAGATATAGTCACACCTCGTTGTTCATTCAAGGTTTATAAAAAACATTATTTCCAACAGTACAGTTTGCAGTAGGATTAGTATTCTCTGCTGAGAGGCCAATCTAGTCCACTAACAATTCAAAGAAAACCAATCTGTTCCATTACCAACCTGCTGGTGTGGGAGCGGAGAAAACCAACCAAAGCCCCCAAACAGAAACCTTCTCCTTCTATCTTATTAGCTGTAGACTGTAATCATGTTTCTATGTTGCCTTGGGGGATTTGAGAGATAGGAGTAAGTCAACCGCAGGGTGTTTATGGCGTTGTATGTTGTGTATTACCAAGGATACTGCTGATTACTTTAGTAAACATTTGTGCACTGACCTTTTAATCCCTCCGAATGTTTGTGCATGACCTAAGAATTTTCCGAAGTCGATATGAAACATATGGCCCGCCTTTGTCAGCATGATGTTCTCATTGTGACGATCACAAACTCCCAGGATGAAGGTCACCACGCACCAGCCAGCACAGGAATAGAAAAAGTTCCTCAAGGCCTAATCGAGTAAGAAACGATGGCATAAAGATAACACGGAAAAGGGAGAATGTGCATTAGCATCAGGGGTAATGAGAAAGCGGAAGAGTGGAGAGCAAAATTACAGAATCAGGAACAGTCTATGAGTCCCAGTGGAGAGATGGGTATGAATGTGTGGCTCATTGTTGGGATGAGACAGAAGAACTTGGAGCATTTGGCTCTTCAGTGTTGTTTTACATGGAAATTGGGGAAAACATCTCCCATTCATATGGAGCTCATGCTCTTGATCTGTAGGAGAGGATTCCTAGCATGATTTTTTCCATGCCTCAACTATGTAAGAGTGAATAATTGTTTGTAAAGTTAAAATAAGAAAGATATACTGCCTAATAGTTCCTCTCCCCAAGAGGCAATATTTAAAATATGAATTTTTATGATGCCCGTAATCCCAGCACTAGGGAGGCTGAGGCAGTAGAATCACCATGAGTTCCAGGCCTGCCAGGGCTACATAGTGAGTTCAAAGTCAGCCTGAATTATAGAGTGAGACCCTGCCTCAAAAAACAAATGAGTGAAGTCTTGGTTTTCTTTATCATAATCCATGCTAGCTAGGATGAGCACTCATAGCTGTCTGACCAGAAATGAGGAGTTTCTCAGAATGAGAGAATTTCCCTACATGGGACAGCTCCCAACAAATCTAATGTTTACCAATACTACACTTTTGAGTGAATCAGCATATAGGTGCCCCTGGGTCTGGGTGATCCATCTGTGCCAGTTCATGGCTTGGCGAGCAGAGTAAGTCTTGACTCAAGCTACGCTTGTGCCCTTCTCCAGGACCCCCAGTATGTACAGGACGGAAACTACAAATGTACATTGTAGGTCACATGCTAGAATCACGTTTGCAGTGCATTTTGTAAAATTCTCATAGCACAAACACAATTATAGAATGGCAGATGAAACATTTAACAAAGCACAAAGGCCACTTACAGAAATGAGAGATTGTGTACAAATAGGTGGAACTTACTGGAGAAGTTTCAAGAGGCAGCGCCTCTGGGAAGATTGCTGTAAGAGAGGCAGCTGAGCAAAGAGATTCACTGTTGATACACCAGAGCTTCCACTAGCAGGAAATTCAAACACAGAAACTTCTGTCTCCTTAGTATGCCATTTAAACAGAGTCATTATTACTAGTCTGATCACTCTAGGTAAATCAGAACTTAAGGTGCACTTAATTTACTTTCCCATGAATCAGACTATCTAATGAACCAGAGCACACTTAGAATTAGTTCCAGCAGGACGAACCTTTTCATAATCTGCCTTCGCGTGGTTGTGCTGGCTGAACCACTTTTTGATTGTATTTTCTTTCAGTGGTCCTATGAGTCCAGAATGGCGATGGATCTTTGCCAGGGTTACAGCATCAGGTACCATCTGCACCAGCCCTGTTGACAAAAAGGAGTTTATTGGAAACAAATCTTTTTTTACATCAGGAGGGACACTTAGGAAATACACTTTGATCTCAGAAACAACAGTAGTTGTCAACACTACTTGGATTACCCTTTTCTTTCCAAATCTCTTTTTCTGCAGAAGACTTCTATAGAGGGGGACCCTTCTAACTGTTCTTAAATCTTCGGGATTGATGCAGCTACTTGTTGAGTTTTGATCATATCTACCAGAAGTAGCTTTAAATATTTTTTCTAGGACTATGATAGAGAGCCAGTCTAAATGGTCTTATAGAGACAGCCTCAAGTCAGTGGAGGAGTGGGTCAGTTGTCATGTTGCTGGGGCCTTCATTTACAGTTTAATGGAGAACTGGAGCAGGTATAGCAAACACATTTCTGCCTCCAGTGAACCAAATACACTCTCCATAACAAACATTTCAAATATATTATAAAAATCAATGTTCAGGTAAATAAAAGCTTCACAGTTAAATGTAACATTTCTGGAAGTGAATAGAAAACTCTGCAGGGAATGTCTAGGGAGTTACCTTCTCCTGGCTTCTCAGTCAATATTAAAGAAAAACTATGAAAATATATTGTTATAAGGCAGCCTATATTGATTGAATTTAAGAAAGACCTTTACCCCTGGGGGTCTGCATCCACCAAGGCATTTTTACTGTACTCCTAAAATTATTAGCATTAAATACTTTCAACCTTTTTGCTTTTTAGCCCATACAGAAACACAGCTCAAAATAAGTACCTAACACTCTCCCATAATGTAAGTCCCTAAACAACCCTCAATGCATATCTTGATAAATAAAATCATTGAAATAAATTAAAATCTAGAGCGCCTGATTTCCACAACCAGCACAATTGCAAGAGTTGCAAACTTAAAATACCCAGAGGGGCCAGACACACAAATATCACTCTGTGAATACAGAGATGGTTGAGTTTTAAAAACTGAAAAATTTTGAAAGGTAATAAGGCTAGGAACTTGATTAAAAACACAGCCTTGTCTTCTAAAAATGACATTTGTTTTAATAATCTCTATTTTTCTTGAAGAAGTGTTTTGTCAGTATAATGCCCTCCAAAATCCTACAACCACAGACAGTATTTTGGTAGAGAAAAAATAATTTATGACTGTACCTTTGGGTAAGCCTGTAGTCATTTGTACTGAGACTTTTTATTCGACTTAAGATTTTGACTCAGTTACAGTCTGTGATTATGAACAGATACAAATAGCTGGAGTTGAAGGATTCCATTGAGATCAGGGATTTATTTAATTTTGGAAGAAAAGATGATCTATGTGACATCAAAAAGTTCAGCCTAGCTCATTTGACTTTATTCTTACTGTTTCAGCATATTAGGCTGTGAGAGAATTAAGTCATTAGATGAGAAAAGGGAAGGCAAAACACTTTGAACAAGAAATGTGTGGTAGCAAGAAGAAAATACTTTCTATACCTCAAAAAACTAGGACTAGCGGTCACATTTGACCCAGCTATCCCTCTGCTGGGTAGTTTTCCAAAATAATTAAAGAATCATACCACAGTGACATGTGCACCCATGTTTATAGTGGCACAGTCTGTAATAGCTAAAACTTGGAAACAGCCCAATTGCCCATTAACTGGAGACTGGATAAAGAAGATGTGGTTTTTCTATGAAATGGAGTACTACTCAGCCATAAAGAATAAGAAACTAGAGATATTTATAGCTAAATGGATGCACATTGAAGACATATGCTTAAGTGAAATACATAGGACACACGTGTAAATACTGAATAGTTTCTCTGATGTGAAAAACTAAAAGTATAAATAAGATTCAAATTGTATAATTGATAATATGAAATAGGAAGAAAAGGTCTAAAAGAGTAGGGGAAATGGGAAGGGTAGGGAAAAAGAAAAAATATGAGGGCCACGGATTTAGCTCAGTGGTTCTACCACATACCTTGCAAAAGCAATAAATTACAAAACCCAGTAAATTTAGGACCTGAGTTCTAACCCTAGTACAAAAAAAAAAAAAATGAGAAAAGGAAAAAATGGAAACAAAGTCTTTGTCAAAAGGGAAGGGTGGAGGGGGCGTGAAGGGAGGGCAGGTGTATGGGGAAAAAATAAGAACCAAGATACATCATGTAAAGGTACAAGATCCCAATGATGAATGTAACTGTACTGTAGACCTAAAATGTACCAATAAACTTAATGAAAATAAAATAAAATACTTTCTCATGGGGGACTACAGCTTTAGAAATGGTCTAGTGGTGGGACACTCGGCATGGAACAAAAGCCCTACTATCAGAATCAAACAAATTAGGTAATGTTTTACAGAGGAATCACTGTTATGTGCCAAGTTGCAAGTTAAACTATCTGCGGAAGGGTCCTTCAGGATTAGCATCTAACGTCTCAACTCACAATTGGCCGGAGACCTGAGTCTCCAATGAGGCCTCAGGACCTGAGGAATCAGGAAGAGACAGTTCTTTTCTATGATGAGTCCAAACTGTAGTTCCATTTGAATTAAAACAATACAACTGACTACTGAGGCTAGGTCCAGTTTTGTGGTTCTATCCCTTTGTTTATGCACATGCATCTGCTCTGCTTTTGTTAATTAACTGAATAAAATTCGAAGTCATAGCAATCATATGCAAAAAAGAGCAGGATGTTTTAGGACTTGTTATTTCTTCAATTTAGCAGATGATGTGTAACTGCAATTTTTATCTGATGTTTTGCTCATCATTTTGGTGGACCACTGAAATATGCATAACTGTAACTATATTTCCACATTAATTTAAGAAATATTGAAGCATGTTGAATGTTTACATGCATGCACATTTTTTCTTGTTGATATTATACCTACTTAAAAGTCTTTTAGAAATTAAATTCAGGTCTATGATGTATTTAGAATTTTCCAAACTTTGTTAATATTTGAAAAAATGTAAAATTTGTGTTAATAGCCAACAACTGTATTTTTAAAATGGGTAAACATTTCCACTACAGATGGTTCCCAACTTAGGAATGGTTCAACTTAGAGTTTTCAACTTTACTTTGGCACAAAAGCGATATAAATTCAGCAGAAATTGTACTTTGAGTGTTACATTTTGATCTTTTCCTCAGCTAACACCCTGGGATATGGTATTCTCTTGGGAGGGTGGGCACAGCTCCCAGACAGTTGCATGGTAATAAAGGTACACAATGCTACTCGTCAGTGTGTTCTGCTGCTATTCTGTGATGTTTGGGAGGTTAGATAGATGCATTTTGACTGACTGTATTTTCAACTTACGATGTCTTTATCAGGATGTGGCTCCATTGTAAGTTGAGAAGCATCTTATTATTTTAGAAAAATGAGAAAAAAATCAGTTATTAATGTAATTACTCTGGAAGACACATGAGTGAACATCACAGTTAACATTTGGATTGTGAGGGACCTAAATAATACCTAAAAGCTGATAATTTACATAAATTTTCTTTGCTTATCATTTTGGAAATTCACCCTTTTAGAACAGAAGAATCGGTACAGTTCTTTGGACTTTTAAATTTATATTCCAAAATGAATGCTGTAGAAAGTTTACCAGTAAGTGCATGGGATAAATAATGTGAGACAATTCAGTTTTTAATCCATACTGACCTTGATTTTTCCCTGTGGACAGACATCTATAAATGATCATTTGCATATCTAGACCCTCCTGTAGCCAAATGTTGTCCATCACTTGAATAACCTGTAGAACAAGCATATCCTGGCGAAGATCATCTCCAGCCTGTTCAAAAAAATATTATAAGCTCTGGTTTCTCCCTGAATTCTATTTAAAGCATTCAATATGGTATATGTCATTTCTTTTCTTGGATAACCGGCCTGTTTTAATACTACTAAAAGTACCTTATATTTCTTATCAGTGATCAAAGAATATAAGAAGGTCTTAAATGATTGCAGAAATACCAACCTTCAAATTAGAAGCACTGCTTCGAGTATTGTCCCTGAAAATAGTCTTTCAATATCATTTACATGCAATTTTTTAGACTGAACGTCCAATGGAGAGAAGCTGAGCAGATGTTCTGAACCAACAGAGATCTCTTCCTAAGTGAAGATTATCTGGTATGATAAAAACTTATGCACTGTTATGCCGTTAGAACACCAAGAGTTCTTAACTAGGAATATAAATAGTGTACATATGATTCAGCAGACTGTGAGTCAGTGATTTCTCCTATTTTGGAGGCAGTTTCCAGAGAAGACTGCCTTTGATAGTAATAAAAAATGATAAAGATGTAATTTCCTAGCAGAGATGAAGGAAATACAATATGTCCAAAAGAGAATCATATTTCTATACTTTCAACAAATAAGCAGCTTGATTTTAAAAACATGTTCAAATTAAGCATGGAAAATTCTGCCAAGGTAAGATTTTGTAGTTTTTTCCCTTTCATGAAACACAGTATGAAGACACCATTAAGGCTTTTGGTTATACCAGTCAGAAGAAAAGAGAATATACTAATCCTTATCCTCAAAATGACATTAAAGTTCAAAAAGATTCACCAAGGGACCTTAAAAGATAATTCACAAGATAAAGAAATGGTTGACAAAATCTTACTTTTTACTATAGCTCCCTTGTTAATTCCTGTTTCTTTCATGTCTGTATTGCATCATTTTACTCTCATGGGATTTTTTCTATGGATTCATGAAGACTGAACTGTTACCTACTTTCTTTGTATTTACAAAGAAAAAAGACCAATTATCTAGAATAAGCAAGTACTTGCAGGTAAAAGTTTTATGTTAAATTAACGTATCATTTGAGTTCCAGCTAATTTTAATCCTAATTCAGAATTTAGGCCAAAGGAAAACTCTACTCGTAGGGTCTTAAACCACATTCCACTTTTTGTGATACTCAAAAGTGATCATATACTTTGATTTGTTAAAACATATTCTGTTGAGTTTTGTACCAAAGGTTTCCGGCATTAAGCCAGGAATGTTTGATTTATTGCCAATCATAGTTTGGCAGGCACTATCATTCTATAAAAAGGCAGAATCTGAAATAATTGGGAAAGCTCTGTGCTGTTGCCAGAGGAAAATAGCTGTAATAATTTCTTTTTGTAATTAAAAAATCAATAATTCTGCTTATGGAATCAGTTTGATACTTGAGAAAGGCTATTGTACCTTAAAAATGACACTGATGTTTGTGCCCAGTGGATTAGCATTGATGAAAGTAATCTTCAATGGCAAAGCATTAGATGTGAAATATGAACATGCCTGTAGGAAGAGAAGAGAAGAAGGGAGGGAAAAATAAAACAAAAACAATACCTTTCCTGAAATCAGGGTTCGTTGCAGAATTTATTATGTGAAAAAACACATGTGAACGCTTTGGAACAATGAAACATATTTATCAGAGGCAAGCAAACAAATTTCAGCCTACCAGTCCAAGCCTTTATAGCAATCTATTTTTCTCCAACATTTTGTTTCTGCAGTTTCAGTTACCTGCAGTTGACCATGATTAAAAAATATTAAATTCAAAATTTCAGAAGCAAATAATTCATGTTTTAAACTGCACAGCATTCTGAGTAGTGTGAAGAGATCTTGTACCATCCCATCCATCTTCCCCAGTAGGTGAATCATTCTTTTGTGTAGTGTATCTAGACTGTATATGCTACCTCCCTGTATGTTACTTAGGAACTAGCCTGATTATTAGGTTGGCTGTTTTGGTACTGTTTTGCAGTGCTCTGCGTTCACCCACTTTTTACTGAATAATGGCTCCAACACGGAAAAGCACCAATGCTGGCAGTTTTATTAAGGATATTGTTGTTTCATTCTATCCTATTTTAAATTACTATAATTAATCTCTTATTATGCCTAATTTATCATAGACATGTACTGGGTTGCAAATCTCCAACTATATTTTTTCTTCAATAAACAGTAGTGATAAATTCCAGGTCTAAGTAGACCAAGGAATATTATTTATGATAGTTGGTTAAGAGATGAAAGGTAAAATTGCTATTTCAATTATTTCTGCTCTACAGCACACTTGAAGGAGAAACACTGATATAGAATTAAAAAAAAAAAAAAGACCTGAATTCAAGTTTGTGTTCTGTCACTTATCAGCCATAGAACCTCAGGGAAGTAACTTAGCATGTCTGTTTCCCGCTGTAAAATAGAGATAACAGCTCTTATCTCATATATTTTGGTGACAAGCACATGGGTTAGTGGATACAGAATACATTGTACCCTGTGTGACACTATGAAGGTACTCTGAAAAAGCAGTGCATTTCTTCTTCCTTTTTTGCTAATGAATAGTATTTTTAAAAATAAAAGTACATTCATTTTCTTGTTTTACTTCTTTTAATTATATTTTGTATTTGGGTCTTTAGCTTGATGATACTGACTATTTTTCCTGCTGTTTACTATCCTACAAATGTCTGAGTTTTGAAAAGCTATATGTGTTTGGGTTACTATATAGTTCATATGGATGCAAAGACTTAAATCAATATTAAAGAAAGGAAAGGGATTTGATGTCTTTAATTTATCAACTTAGTAAAATATGACCTCAATACATGTTGAAAGAGCAGTTTGAATATCATTATCCCTGAGATATGTGGAATCGATGTAAACTGAGAACAAAAGAGCTATTTCTTAATTTGCTTGTCAATAGAAAGCTAATCTCTAACCAAACACAAACGCTTGCTTGCTGAATCAACTTGAATTCTATAGTTTTATGGGTAAGACTGCTTGTTGGGTACGGATTTCGGCTGTAGAAGTCAGTTAATTAGGGATCATATAGTATTGTCACTGTATAGAATTAAGAAACACTGTATGAAACAAGACATGAGTTGTGATTAGTGCTTTTCTAATTCTGCACATCATATTTATGAGGATCCCTTTGAAGTATCCCAAGTCCAGGAAAGAGACAAAGATAAAAAGGAGGCTGAGGGCAAGGTTTGGCCTCTCTACTTAACTGTCAATCAGAGCTACTCTGCTTTCAGTGTTTCATTTCTTGGTTTTCACATGCAGTATATTTTTTAAGAGCCATGTCAAAATATCAAATACTCAACTAGAATGCATAAAACATTGTCAGTCTGCTAACAGAAAAGAACCACTATATCCATCTGCATTAAACCCACAAAAAAGGTATGAAAACATTTACATTTGTATTATGTTGAAAACAATTCTCTGGGCAGTTTTTCAAAGACAGAGGAAGAAACATTTGAAGAAGAAAATCTTTCAGAGGTGAAGTTGATCTTGAAGATTATAAGGATTAGCAAGTAGAGAGAAGAAACAATTTTCAGGTGGGAAAGGCAAACAAGAGATCAAATCAGAGTAGATGTTGAAAAGTGGATCGGGGTGACCATAGCCAAGATCCAGAAAAGAGTAAAGCATCTTGCAAAATGAGTTTACTGAAATGGCGAGGAGGAAAAACTAGAAGATTCAAAACTGAAAAGGGGGAAGGAAGATATGCCTTCTGTTCTTGAAAAGCACAGATTATTCACATAGATCTACAAATAGTTGAAAAAAGAAATAAAGTATCTGGTCCCTGGTTTTTCAATGGCAGAAGAAGGATTGCATTAAGTTGCGCTTAACTCTACCTCTCAGTGATTCAAAAGGGAAACAGGGAATGATCTTGTATGCAGTGGTTTCCAGGTGCACGAGGTTGAGAATTTTTCCTATAAAGAAAACTTGACTGAGGGGAGGGGGGACTTAACTGAAACCTAAAACCTTGCGCTCTGTTTTGGAGAGGCACAATTCAGAAGTGGATTGAGGCAAGCCTGAGTGTCGCTGTCAGTGCAGCTGACGGATGGTGCAGGAACTCAGACGAAACTCAGACTTTTCTACACTAACTATGCTGGGAGGGCTTCTCCCTAGTGTGAACTCTGCAGTGCCCCGTAAGCTGAGAGCTACCATGGCTTTCCTACATCTTTGTGTGGATAAGGTTCTCCCCAGAATGGGCTCTCTGATGTACATTAAGACTGGCACTATAGCCAAAGGCCCGCATTCACAGGGTTTACTGGCAGTGTGAACATTCCAGTGTGAGGTGAGGTGTGTTTTGAGTGCCGAGTTCTCGTGCTTATTGCATTTATAGAGCCTTTTGCCCGTGTGCAGCCTGTGACGTAGAGTAAGACATTTTCTCTGATGCGATGCCTTGCCTGCCACACTGTGCTCAAAAGATCTTTCTCTGGTATGAATTTGCTCATAGTCAACAAGTTGAGCATTCAGACTGAGGTTTATTCCCCTCAAACTGTTTACATTTATATGCTTTTCCCCTAGCGTGGCTCAGATGTTGAATGTGCTTAGGTACTGAATATATGCTATGCTCATAAGGCTTCTCCCCTGTGTGGATTATTTGATAGTAAGTTTTCTATCAGAACAGGAAGCTTTGCCACATTCATTCCTTCTGACCGTGAGGTTTCTCATCTCTGTTTCACAGGAATGGAGGACAGATTGAAATGAACCACAGGGCGGCATCACTGGCCATGTCTGTCCCGTGCATTGTTTACCTACAGGCACCTAGTGCAGTCCCAGCAGCTGGGTGAGGTCCTGGACAGCTCACCTTGGAACCCCTAAGGGTCACCTCATAGTGCCAATGCCCAACTCCAAGGCTCATACAAGCCATACTTATGTGTAATTGTAATTGAGAAAAAAACAATAACACTCTATTTCTTAAACAAAACAGAAAACCTCAAGAAACCAGGAAAGAAAAAAGCAAAACCCAATTGGGTTTAGTGGTGTCTTGTTCCTTCTACCTTAAGATACTACATCTTTGAAATGTTGATTTTCTATCTTTGGTAGTTGCTAGTAAAGACTACTAATAATTAAAACATCATATCATTTTGGAAGAATCAGTGATAGTTCAGACTTGAAGGCAGCTCATTGTTAGAACTTTGGCCTAGCATGCATGAGGCACTGGCTGTAATCCCAGTACTCTTGTCACTGAAATTAGTGAAGATTTTGATTTTAGCCTAGATAGATATACCTCGTTTTATGGAATTTAATGCCCCTTTTGTCATTTTTTAAAAAACTATATTTATGAAGCATATCAGGAAAATTTTAGAACATCTTGGTAGCAGCAAAGTTGTAAGGATAACAGTATCACATTTTTAGTGAAACTTTTTACATTTATACTACCAATAATCTAATTTTCCTCTAATTCTTGAGTTTGTTTTCTTGACTGTCTTATAACTTCACTTAGGTACCATTTTTTGTGCATTCATGATAGCTTAACCTTTTCACTTTTAAATCTCACATATCAATCATTTTCCCTATTAGTGTCTTTCTACTTTAGGAGTTTTGAGAAGGAGGATAAGAAAGCTTAACAGGACCAAAGAAAAAAGAATGAATCTAAATCAAAGAATGGTGAATAAGAAGGAAACATGTGACAGAGGATTAAGAAAAGAAGGTTCAGGAAGCTGAATCTGACATCAGGAAGGGCTTCCCATGCATGAGTGAAATCACAAAATAAATTATATAACATGCAGACATATGAGGACCAATAAATTTTAAATCAAATCCAAATTAAGACGATATAGCTAATGTTTAATATTGGTGTAGAAGACATTATTATACACACAATCTAAATAAAGCATGAAATTATTAGCAACTCTCCTACCTGGTCCATCCCTTTGTGATTCAATGGGAGATAGGAAATGGTCTACGAAGTGGGTCAAAAAATCAGCCATATTGGATAAGTAAAAGTAAATTAATTTTGTGAGAAATGCATCTTTTTTTTTTCCTAATGAACTGATGATTACTTTGTTTCCAAATCAACAAACCACAAAATGAGCATGTGATCTTGGTTGGATGTTGCGCATCAAGTAGAAAACATAATGTGGACGAGAATCAGCTACTTTTTTCTGGAAATAATTGCAACGTCAATTCCTGAGTTCTTAGGCACTTCATGCACAAAACAGTGAATTAAACCATGCAAAGCAGAGAAACTCAATTGATCTACTGAATACAGACTTACATTGCGGTCAATCCCTTTTATACACAGTGCAGGGTTCAATGGAAGATGACACGTATTCGTATCTTGAAAGAATTCATCTAGTCTGCCGACCTCTTTTCTTAGTATCTCCTATGAAAAAAAGGATTAGAAATAAACATTTAAGGAACTGTAAAGAACCTGACTCTTCTTTCAAGTTGTACTTTTCTTCTGCTGTCGAAATAAACTTTTAATGCAAGAGCTGCAGACGTGGATGACCTTGAGATCAGGCAGGTGATGTAGTCACTGAGGAAGAAGCAGTAGACTAAGGACAATAGAGATTTCTGAGGAAAATGGGAACCAAAGAACTCACACTCTTTCTCCAGGATCTCAAAAATCAATTACAAGCAAGTACCAAGCAAAGCACTACAGTGTTCAAACAAAACAAAGTGGATTGGACTTGGCCTGTGGCCCACTGATTTGCAAATTCTGCTTTAAGTCATTATCAACATGACCCTTTTCTGCTCATTCCCAGGAATATGAGTCTATAACTTTCAAGATTTACCCTTAATAGTAATAGTGCATTTTACAAAAACATTCACAGGTTAGCAACAACATTGGCTGTTTTGTTCACTTTCCCATTGCTGAACTCAATACTTGCCTGACTACTTAAGGAAGGAGAGTTTATTTTGGTTCATGGCTTCAGTTCATGGTTAGCTGTGGCTCTAAGACAGACACAGGATGGAGGCAGTGCATGGTGGAGGGAAAGGGGATCAATCTCATGGCAGCCAGGAGGGAGAGAGAGAGAGAGAGAGAGAGAGAGAGAGAGAGAGAGAGATGCTTCCTGGTCTCGCCTTCACTGACCTACATCGATTAGGCCCCACTTCTTGAAAGCACACTCAGCTACTTAGTCCTCAATGCAACAATCCACTGATAAGTCTAGGACTCTCAAGTTCTAATCACCTTCCACATACATGAGAATCTGGGGGGACATTTAGATCTAAATGATGAAAAATGACGGTTGCTTGATGCTGTCAGCATACATATACCAAAAGTTGACTAGGTGCCGGCAAGTATGTAATTGTGCTTTCTATTCCTTTCCATACTTCACTGAACCTGTGGAAAACCAGAGACCCCAAACCTTTGGTGTGGTTCCTTTGGCAAAAGAGGTAGAAAACCATCGCAGTTCATCAAGAAACAGCAAAAAGTGTTTGTATCCTCATTTTGAAAACCAAACCCAGCGCCAAAGGTGGGGATAGCAGATTAACATTGTTAATTGATTCCTGGAGATTTCTGAGCTCTTACTCTTGGGTCACTGGAAAATAAAAGAATCTACCGCACCAAGAATCCAGAAGAGCATGAGGCCAAGCTGTACTGCCGCATTTTTTCTGTGTCTGTTCCCATCTATGTGTGAGTTTGACTGCTAATCCTTGTGGAGGGAACTCTCCGCTCCTCTCGTTTACGTGAAAACCTTTTCTCCATATTGTACAGTTACATTTAATTTATTGCTTTTTCTTTTAAGTAGAATAAAAAATAGCTATCAGTAACTTATATTGTGAGAAATTACAAACGCCTCCTTTATCTTATTTCTTGATTCTTTTCTCTCCTAATTTTCACATAAAGACATCTTTTCACAAGAACTGCCAGCTAAGACAAGAAAAATATATTTATTTGAGTAAATAATATCAGTTATCACTCAAAACTTGATACAAACTGCCAAAAAAGGGACTAGAATTATTTAATCATAGTGTGTATCTTAGATTTGTGAAGGATGGTTTTAAATTAACATGAATTATACAAGTGAGTTCCCTGTGACATTTCCATGTGTGGTGGGTTGAGCATGTCAACCCCGGCAAGAGATTTTAAAAGAAGAGATAAAGACCAAACTTATACTCAAACTTCTGTAACTTTTAAGTCAATTTGTTTTACTTGCTATCAACTTTTTGTCTACCAATGGAAAATAATTAATAAGTTTGCAAACAAAATGAATAAATCTTAGAAGTTTTAAAATTGGCCTTATCCATCACATCGTACACTTTAAGACTTCTGTTTGTACCCACAATGTACACATCTTCCATTTAAAGTAGATTTCAGGCCTAAGTGTTTTTTTTTTTTTTTTTTTTTTTTTTTTTTTTTTTTTCTTTTA